CTTGTCTCACAGTGCACATTGCTCAAACATCGATGCAAAACTGCGAAACATATCCACCACGAAGATCAATCAAGCGGCAACGAGTAAATTCACATGAACACAGTCAAATAAGCCATGGAGACAGCTGTACGATATAAGCAAACACTTCAAACAGACCGTTGTCCAATCAGATAACTCGAATGCACATCACACTTACTCTCCCCAAACCAAACAACCACCGGGTCAGATGATTCCACGGGAAGTCGGATGTTGTCAGGGAGCGACACAATCAAGTTACACGAGGCACAAACCAAAGTATCATTCGCGATACGCTCCGTCCGACTTGTGATCGGTTTCTCCAGCACAATTTTCTCCCCCTTTTTCAAAGTGATCACGAATGCGGAGCCCAGACACGGATCGTTTGCACTCAAGTCCACTGACAATACTCTCCCATTATCGACCACACTGGTTCTCACCAAAATTTTGTTGTCTGTCAATGAAAAGCAAGGGAGTAAATGCACAATCGCATCGTGATGAACAGTTTGCGTCATACATTTCATCTTGGTAAACAAACGCGTATAGCATGGAGATTGTGAAACATGATTTTTCCGATCGATTCGGATCTGGTCTTAGAAATCTCCGAATGATCCATCGCTGATTTTCAGTTCTGTTGACCAAGGTGACCTGCTCGTCTCACTTGGTTGGTTTCGTCGCCCAACTGCATCATCCTCTACTTGGTTTTACGTTTTCCTTCTGAGCATTTCTGGTAAGTTTCTCGATATCAAATATCCCACCGTTTGAGTCGGTTTTTTATACCGCGGATTCCAAGTGACTTTATCGATTGTGTTTACTTTATTTTCGGTATCATGCACGCAACTTGCGGCAGCAGGCACAATGATTTATTGTGCACAATTTTTATCGGGATATATTTCTCTTTCAGATGAATTTTGCAAATCATATATTGTCGATTATCTCATCGTAGTCAGCGATCATCGGTACACGTGGATATTTGCTAAATAGGATGACGAAGAATACGGTAGTTTGGTCGAGTCTTTTTTTCTTTTCTTTTCATTTTGTTTCCTTCTATTGATTAATGAAAGATACAATTTTCAGGATGGGGACGCGGCTTACCAATGTGCTGCCTTTCAATACACACTGGTGATACTCAGACGGTTGTGTTGGGATTCGAACACACATCTCAGGGCTGATAATTTGTTGAAGTTACCACCGGACCCTCACCGCCTGCAATGGAACAGGGTGATTGCTGTGCGGTCGGTGATATTGGCTCTTGTTCCATTGGTTAACAAAAGTGTTCAGTCACGAAGGGACATGTTGAATCATTGTCAGTCGAAGTTGCCGTTCGGTTCGGCCGAGGTGGGTGGCCACGCACCCTAATCGGAAACATATTTGTAACCTGAACCTTCTGTTTTTAAGTTCATTACGGAACAAATTTGTTTTGACATGACATTCAATGAATACTTTCGAATATTGGCAGTCCTCTAAGTTTTCGCTAATGGGTTTAAATTTTCTACACCTTTAAGTAATATTTTTAACAAGCAGATTTATGACTTTTTTTCAAATGGATCGGTCGATTTCGAACGATTTCGGCATCTGGTTCGGTGTACTGTTTTCGATCACTCTTTGACTGCATGTCATGATCATAATCCTTACGACTCCTCTTAGTTACATTTTAAAACGGTTATTTAAAGAAATAACTTACTTATCGATCCAACCGCCACAGTCTTGCTGGTGACCGTATCCATGCCATTGTTCAGTTTAACATCGTACAATCCACAGTTTACCTTCACGAATGATCCGCCACCCACCGGCTCTGTGACGACCAATTCCAGGTTGTTCTTCTCATCCGGTACCATTGGAATAGTGTTTCCACTTTCCCCGGACCGGACCACAACCACTTCATAGTTTGCGTATTCGGCCGAAGGTATGTCCCAGTTCACGTCAATTCTTCCCGTTGATCCAATCACGTTGAACATTGCTTGAATAACAAAGGCATGGGCACGTTATCTGAAACGATTCGTTCGAGTTTTGGGCTGCCAAGTAAAGAGTTTATAAATGATTCCACCCGTAACCGTTCGAATGTTATCTTTTGAAACAGGAAATTTCGACATTAGGTTGATCATTTGTTTAAATTTAACACTAACTCTCTGATCACATGATGTTTGCTATTTACTTTTGGACAAGTTTATATGTTCTCATTCCGCAAGAGTGAACATACCTGTTCCAAACCAAACCTTTTTCTTATGCGTCGGAATCGGTTTATCCTTCGGTCCGGTGAGAATGGTCACATATAAATCACAGGGTTTACAAATCACTGTATCTTTGATTGTTACACTCGGTCCGGTGACATTTTTGTCCATTATTTTTCTTCTTTGAATTCGCAGTTCAATTCGGTATTTCGGTTCAAAACATGGATATTTTTGTGCGATATGCAAATCCAGTTCCGCCCCGTTTTTGATGGCCTTTGTTTTCAAAATCAGCTGGAAATCTGTTTTCATGAGCATGAGTATGAAATGTTTGACGGTAATCAATGTTTGCGATGAGGTTTTATATAACAATCTTTGAATATACATCACAGCTTCAAATATGTTATTAGCGTTCATAGTGTAGAATATTGAATATTTTGCGAAGTATATGCAGGCAAAATTGCATTAGCATCTTCAACCTAAATTGCTGTGCTTTGTTCTATGAAGTTGTACATAGTAGGATCTTGTGCAATCAATTTCTACGGAACCAAGAGGTGACTGTGTTTTAACTCGCAGCACCCACTGGATTAGTAGTCACGAAGAACATGGTACCATTATTCATTTTCTACACTAGTACATTAGTACAGGTATTGATCAAACTCGTGCAACCTAACTCTCATTTTGGAAATACATTTCATTTTCCAAATATCATCCCAGTATATCGGTCGATAGTAATGGGTGAAAAGCATATAATCCAAAATTTATAGCCCATTTTCGGGTTCTGAGTTCTCTTGTGCCCCGGCCTATTGGTCGACGCGTACGTGACACTCGGCACAGATGAGGCAAGTTTTCGATAACTGTTGCTGTCGAAGTATATTACCAAAAGTCATACTTCTCCCAGATAAGGCTTACTATCGTATCGCACTCAAGGTCGGCGGTAGG